AATTACAAGCACAATTGCCCGGTTGTTCTTATAGTGAGACATAACCTGCTTCATCATCAAGTCGAGAAAAATAGAGGAATTTGGATAGGGTGGTGATTTTCTCACTCCCCTTTTATTCACTTACACTCCCTTTTGTTTTTTATTACTTTTTACTATAAAATAAAAGGGAGTGTAAGTGAACAAAATAAGAGTGAGAACATACAATTTTAAAAAAATGGAGTGTAAGTGGATAAAAAGGGAGTGGGAAAATCAATACTCATTTGGATATTTCTGGTTCAATTAGGAGCAAAGTGGTGATAATTCTAGTAAAATCATTTAACCTGAAATGAGTAAGCATCAAAGCACCAGTGGTCTAGTGGTAGAATAGTACCCTGCCACGGTACAGACCCGGGTTCGATTCCCGGCTGGTGCATTCCATTTTTTTAATTTTTCCTTCTTCGGGCACAATGAAGCTAGATGGATCATGGTTGGATTGGATGGATGAAGACAAACAAATCAAGGACTTGGGGGTTAAATTGGGCGGTCAAGTCAAGGACTTGAGGGGTAAATCTCACATTCCAATTTCATCTCCTTTTATTCAAATTTCAGCTTTGGCTGTGCTCAAATCAGATATTTTCAAGATCCCACCACCTTCATAATTTAAGAAAAGTTGACTTGTTGAACCTCATTACCAGGGAGACTAAATGGGGACAAGGAGAAGGCTGTACCTGTACAGATCCCAAGAGTTAAACTTGGAAGTCAGGGATTTGAGGCATTATAATAATCCATTTAGACTCTTAAAGTTCCTTCAATCTCTGTCTTTTCTGCAGATAGTTGATTTAGATGCTTAGTTATATTTCTTCCAATTGTTAGTTATTTGTTTCAAAATTTTTGATTTCCTTGCTCATCAGGTCTCAAAATTGGGGTTTGGATGCATGGGCCTGAGTGGGGTCTACAACTCTCCTGTCCCTGAGGAGGATGGTATCTCCATAATAAAACATGCCTTCAGTAAAGGAATCACTTTCTTTGACACAGCTGATGTATATGGACCCCACTTGAATGAAATTCTTCTTGGCAAGGTTTGTATTTCCACTTTCTTTGACACACACACACACCTGATTGATTAATTCGTGGTAGATATAATTCACAAAGAAGCAGACTATTAGCTAAAAATGTGTGTGTGTTTTTATAATGAAGGCTTTGAAGCAGTTGCCAAGGGAAAAAGTTCAAGTGGCCACAAAGTTTGGTATTACTGGAAGACGTGATCCTCCTGGAATTACAGTGAAGGGCACTCCTGAGTATGTCCGCTCATGCTGTGAGGCTAGCCTCAATCGTCTTGGCGTCGACTACATTGATCTGTATTATCAGCACCGGGTGGACACGACGGTGCCTATAGAGGAAACCGTATGTGATTCTCTTCCTCATTCAGCTACAGCACCACAACTGAATAATATTGGAAGTGCTTTTACATAGCTTCTTGTAGAAATAGTTGGGGGTTGGCTGGAAAATATTGATTAGATACTTTTGTTTTTCCTGGAGTTTAGGTAGGTGAGCTCAAGAAACTGGTGGAAGAAGGAAAAGTAAAGTATATTGGGTTGTCTGAAGCCAGCCCGGACACAATAAGGAGGGCACATGCAGTTCATCCCATCACGGCTTTACAAATTGAGTGGTCCCTCTGGACTCGTGATATTGAGGAAGAGCTTATTCCAGTTTGCAGGTATGTTCAAAATCCACTTTCAACCCTGAATTGCTTCCCTGTTTTCCATTTTTGTAAGGGTAAAAAAAAAAGGGGAATGCCTCCCCTCTACTTGTGAAAAAATGATTGCAGTTACTTAAACGCTTGTGGAATGTTCTCAAAGTGTGTCTATAATAACTCTAATTTGTGTCAATTATTTTGTTCAATGTTGTCACATACAGGGAGCTTGGCATTGGAATAGTTCCATATAGTCCTCTTGGTCGTGGTTTTTTCGGAGGCAGAGGAGTTGTGGAAAGTGTGGCTCCAAATAGTTTTGCGGTAGGTTGTTCTTCATAATCTTTTTCCGTTATAGAAGTAAATGTAGGTTCTGCAGAGTAACAAAAAACTGAGAGAGAAGAGTTTGATTCTAATCTTGGTTTTTTCTTTGGCATTATGTCACAAAATCATATGTTAACTCAAAAACCTAGTAGTTCAGTAGTTTTGTGAAAATTGTGCAGTTCTTGTCTCACTTTTTTGTGTCGCACTTTTTTATGCAGTTGAAGTACAAAACTACGGGTTCAGGGTGTTTGGATTTTACAACTATAAATTTGAAGTATGTTCTTTTTCTGTGTATGAAAACTAATTTTGGTTGATTGAATCTTGTCCATTTTTCTTTTCTGCGCCAGGCCAACCATCCTCGGTTTGTAGGAGAGAACTTAAACAAGAACAAGGAA